AAATGGAACAAGATGGGATCAGGAGGGAGACAAACCATAAGAGACCCTTAATGTCACAAAACAAACTGAGGGGGGCGGAGGGTAGAGGGAGTAGGGAGAGGGTGGTTGGGTTATGGACACTGGGGAAGGTATGTGCTATGGTGAGTGCTGTGAAGTATGTAAACCTGGTGATTCACAGACCTGTACCCCTGGGGCTAATATACATTATATGTTTATAAAAAAAAAACTTAAAATTTTTTAAAAAAAGATGAATTGTCATTAAATTAAAGAAATTGAGGCTTACAGAATGTGTTTTCAAAGATCTCAGAGCTGGTAAATGGCCGAACCAAGATTTGAGTTCAGATTTTCCAACCCCAACTCCAGAGATCTTACCATTAAACCAGGAAGGTAGATATAGACATATAGCACATGAGTTCCCACTGTGTCCCATCGTGCTCATGGCAATCTCGACAGTAGATGCAACCACTCTTTCCTGCTGAGCTGGATCCAGCTCGTCATGGCACCCAACCAATGATGTGGAATTGATTCTGAGCTTGTCTTTTTGCATTATACCTTTTGAACATTTGATAGACAGCACTCATTTGAATGTACAGTTTCCGGTATGTTTGTTTACAAATTAGCCACATAATGACACAGTTAATGACTCTGCCTCTTGGTATTTATTCCAGGCCTCGAAGCCTTAGGATGGTTTGGGGCAGAGTCAATCCAGGTGTTTTCATTCATTTATATTCCTCTCTAGAGATCCTGGAGAGCTGTGCCAGAACACAGACACACACAAACTTATCTCTGAAGACGTTCTTGCTTCCCCGAGTTGTCTAAGTATGTCTCCCGACGGCTTACTGAAGAGCCACAGCCCAGTGTGAAACTAATACCTTCTGAAATGGAGTAACCACCTGGCTTTTGGCCATTTTAGGCTGTGTCTGATTCCACATGTGCCCATTTGTTTAAATTATGTTATTTTGTATTTAAATTTGTGTTTAGTAAAGCAATCTGACAGGTTTCTGATAGTTACTTAGATCTCAGTTGAGGCCGATTTGCATTTTCCAACTGCCAACTACTTATTTTGACTTCAGGCTTTTAACAAGTAAGTGTTTTTCAAAGACCACCTGGGGACTCCTGATCAGAACCATTTGGAGAATTTTTAGTACCCTAGATATTGTCTGGTGTCCGATGACATTTCTTAGGAATATGAATTTTTAACAAGTTCCCTGGATGATTTAAGATTATTTAAGAACCGCTGCTGTTTCCTTGTTCCTACCAAAATGTAGACAATTATGAAAGACTGTTGCTCTTGCCAAAGGAAAATTTATATCTATATCTACATCTGTATCTGTGTCTTTAATTCTTTAAAGCTAGCGAACAGTGAAGAGCTGTGGACACAAAGAAAGGTAAATGAACTAAATTCCTGAGAATACTGGACCCAGAAAAAAGAAAGTATTGGAGAATTTGAAGACAAGTCAATACAAATGATCTAACAAAAAGTACAGAGAAATTAAAAATATTAAAGGGGCACCTGAGTGGCTTAGTTGGTTAAGTCTCTGACTCTTGATTTCTGCTCAGCTCATGATCTCAGAGCCATGAGATCAAGCCGTGCTTTGGGTTCTATCCTCAGTACAGAGTCTGTTGGAGATTCTCTCCCTCTTCCCCTACTCCTTCCCCTGCTCTCACATGTGTGCACACGAGCTCTCTCTCTCTCTCTCAAATAAATAAATAAATCTTTTTTTTTTTTTTTTAAAGAAAAGAAATAGTAGAATCTGGAAAACATTGGAATACCACCATTAATGTTGAACAACAACAACAACAAAAAACAAATATCAACCTAGACTTCTACCTCCAGAGAAAAGATACTTTAAAATAAGGAAGAAATAAGGACATTTGCAAACAAACAGATCTGAGAAGATGTGTTACCAGCAGATCCACAGTATAGTAAATGGGCCATTTTGTTTACATCACTACAGTCTCTAAAGACTTTTGTGAATTAAAGGGAAGTTATGCCCAATAGCCTGAATCTACAGAAAGGAATGAAAAGCACTGGAAAAAGTAAATATGTCAGTAAATAGAGAGGACAATTTTTCACCCTTTAAATTTTTAAAAGATACTTGAAGGTTTAGATAAAAATAATAGCAAGTATTGTGGGGTTTTGTAACATATGTAGAAGTAAAACATATAACAAAATAGTGCCAAGGAATGAAGAGGGTAAAATGGAATTAAAGTGTTTTAAGGTTATTACTTTGTCCATGAAGTGCTATAATATTTATTCAATGTAGACAATGATATATTAAAGTTGCATACTGAAGACCTAGAGCCACCATTCAAAAAAATAGAGACATAGTTAAGATCTAGTACAGGAGATAAAAGGAATATAAAATTAATAATCAGGGACACCTGGGTGGCTTCGTGGGTTAAGTGTCTGGCTATGGATCTCAGCTCAGGTCTTGATCTCAGGGTCATGAGTTTAAGCCCCACACTGGGCTCTATGCTGTGTGTGAAGCCTACTTACAATAAATAATAAAATAATAATAAATAGGTCTAAGAGAAGGTAAAAAAGAAGAAACAAAGAATATGTGAGATAAGTAGAAAACAAAGCAAGATTATTCATAAACCCAACCTATCAGAAATTACATCAAACATAGAGACTAAGCATTTCAGCTAAAGGTTGAGATGTATAGACTGGACTTAAAAAGTGGCAACCATCTATGTGTTATTTATAGGACATGAACTTTGTTGATTCTGTTGTTTTGGGAAGGAATGCTGATAGCTTTTTTCCAGTCCTCTCTATCTTCACTTATCTTTTATATTCTTACTGATTCCCTTTTTGCTACTTTTTCTAAAAATTATTGAGAGAGGAGGGTTGAAATCTTTGATGAAAACTGTCCAGTTCTCTATTTTTCTTTCAGTTTTATCAGTTTTTCTTTTCGTCTTTTCTCCTTTGTCTATTATTAGGTACATACATGTTAAAGATTGCCATGTGCTCTTAATAAACTGACCTCTTCATTATTGTGAAACATTCTTCTTTATCCCTGGCAATATTCCTTGTGATGAACTTGACTTTGCCTTGTTTTATTATGTATACACCAGCTTTCTCTTGTTTAGTGTTTGGCATATGTGTTGTTATCTTTTTTTTTTTCTTATCTGTGTACATCTTTATTTAAAGTGCTTATATACACCACGTACACTAGAACATGCTCTTTTTTGAAAAATCTGATCTGACAATATCTGGCTTTTAACTGGAGTATTTTGACCATCAACTGACATAATTATCTATAAGGTTGGGTGAAATACATCATCTGCTCTTTGTTTTCGATCTGTCCCATTTTTTTCTTTTTTCTTCTTTGCACCTTTGTTGTTGTTGTTGTTATTGTTGTCCTACTAGCCTGGTTATTTTATTTCTATTAAACTTTAAATGTTATAATAGTATTAAGATTTCTAGAACAGGTGCCAAATAGTATAGAGAGTTCTGGTATACCTGGCTCCCAGTTTCCCTTATTGTTAACATCTTACATTTGTATGATACATTTGTCACTACTGCTGAACCAATATTGATACATTAGAATTAACTATGGGTCATAGTTTATTCAGATATCCTTACCCTGTTTCTAACACCATACCTGACACCATGAGGAAGGAACAGACACTGACTTATTTAATCCTCAAAATGGGATGACCTTTTTATTATCCCCACTTTACCAATAAGCCAACCGAAAAATTCAGAACTTAGTAGTAGTAATAACGATAATAAATAGTTAGTACTTTCTGAGAACTACGGTTCCAAGCACTTTACATGTATTAATTCTTTATGTCTTCACCACAACCTGACAAAACACTTTTCTATTAGCCCCATTTTACAGGGAAAAAAAAAAAAAAAAAAAAAAACTAACTTCAACAGAAAGGATTCCAAGGGCTGGCGCTTAAACCCAGATCTTTCTCTCCCTCCCACTTTTTTACCAGGTGCCTCTTAACTAGCAAATTAAAATGCCATTTTCATTACTCAATCTTTAGGCAAATATTTGGGAACCTTCTATATGCTGTTTATTGGTTGAGGCACTGCTGGTCCGGTAGTAAGTACTACAAAATCCAGGCCCTCATGGTACTTATATCACACAAATATAAGGCAATGTTATTGTGTTAACATGCAAAATGTACATGTCTACCTGGAGTAGCCTCTTTCATTCACGACCACTTCTGAGAAGATGTTTTGTCCTCAAGGCATTGTGCCAACAGTAGTCTATGGAGCACAGTGTTGGTTTCACTCAGTTTGCTGGCTGCCTTATCTCAGAAGTCAGGAAACAGTGACCGTAGGTAGATGTGTCCTTCTAAGAACCGGAGGGGTCCTGTTCACAATACACATCTCTCTCTCACTTATATTGTTCCTGTCAGGCGTTTCAGTCTCAACTGTCCTCAGTGGCACTGCTCTTAGCACCTCCTCACCGAGAGGAGTCAATTTCTGGGACACCCTAATCGGGACCCCAAGGATGGGCTAACCATGCCACAAGACGCTGTTGTGAATGGACGTGATGCCCAGGATACACAGAGAAGAGGAGAAATCTGAAAGCCAGTGAGAAAAGGAGCCAGCAGTCCGTGTGGGTTGGGTGGAGTGTGCCTACTTTGGGACTTGTTGTGCAAGGGCATGAATCCCCTCAGGGCTTAAGCCACCCTCAGCTGGGTCTGTGGTTACTTGCAGCTAAAAGCATCCTCACCAAGACTGCATCGCAAAGACCCCTTTGTTATTAAGAGCATGTACGCCTGGGAATCTTTGCTATAAATCACCCCACTTCCCGGAGGTACTAGCCAAGGAATTCTCCCACAAACCATTGAAATTCCCAGTCTTTGTGGTCAGATGCCCTCTGTCTGCCCTCTTCTCTCCTTAGCTTTATTCCTTCAGACAACTACTCAAAGACACTTGGTGCACTGAAATCACTCTAGCATTACCAAAGGCTATGTGATGCTGATTGGAGACACTTGAAGAAAAATAAAGCTTTGAACTAAAGCATGTTTCCTAGTGTTATTGAACAACACAAAAATAGGACCTACTTAGCCATGCACTCCCACTGTGTTATTCATCGTCTGGCTGCATTGGTGTGTGCCAAAGTGCTTTTGGGGGCCTCCGGAGCACTTCTTTCCTTTCCATTCCTTCCCTTGACTGCATTCAAAAGAACCAAAAACAAACAAGGCATTTAATTACTAAGGGTTATTCATTATTTTGTTCAAAGCCTAAAAGCTCGAAAGAATCAGAACAATTTATTTTCTGAACTCACTCATCACAGTTTCCAAACCGGCCAATGTGGCCCAATCTTTAGTACTTATTGAAAATGTTCTTTCACTGTAGTGAAAAAGCTGTAGTACCCCCATGGACCAATGTCACGAGATGAGCCTGTGGGCTGGGTGCCACGATTCAATCTGTGTCAAAAGATGTGCAGAGAAGACTGCTTGAGAGTTGGGAAGCAACTTTATTCTAGGAAGGCCAGTCAATTCCAAATTAACAGAGTAGGCAAAGTAGCCTTTGCCTACAGCAGAAAGATGATCTCTCCTGCTTTGTCAACTCCAGAAATTGCATTTATTCATTTTTGTCACAGTACGCTCAGAAAAGTATAGAGAATATAAAAGCAACACTTAGATAGTAACCATAGTGATTTCACAGATGCGCTATTTTGCCATATTTCTGTCATGTATAAATATCACGATGGATATCTCTATTTGACCCATGGAATAAATTGTCAAGTTAAACTGATAGTCCCACTTCCATGTTTCTCTTCACAGGGACATTTACAATTAAACCTTTCACTTCTGAGTCTTCTGCAACTATGATTTCCAAACAGAAGAGACAGGTTCCAGAAGAGACCATAAATATTTCAAATAGGACTTCAACAGAGCTTTGCTCCTGCCTGAAGGTGGGCTAGAGCTGACAAGGGAGTCTGTGTGGACATTAATATGGGACATTAAGGAGAGATAAACATCCTGGAAGCAGGAGAGTGCCTAGATCTGAAGATCATGGGCTTCGGGGAGACGGAAAGTCTAAAGTTACTTTTACTTTATTGATTTCCTTTAATGTAATCACATTCCGAGATTTCATTTATAAGCATCTCCATTTTAAATAACATCCATACACAATCTGAATGGCAGAAGTTCAGCAACTCAACTCCTCTCTGTCCCCCTAGGTAGCTGACATGCACTGTCACATCCAACCATTATGGGGCTTGAATGACTTTTGTTTTTTCCCAATAAGAACATAATAAAGTTCCCCCTCGGCTCCCATGCCAGCTATATAGGCTTGGAATTTCTTTTCAGAGCACTTACAGATTTTTGTAGATTTTCCCTGGTTTACAACCATCCTAGAATAAAAGCAGAGTTCAAAACAGGGGTAAGCACAACATGTTGATAGATACGGATATACTTACCAAGAGCTGTCTCAGGAACAGTCAGTCTCCTTTCCCAGGAAGAAAGATGGAAAACAATTGCTTCTTGATCTCACTTTAAAGCAAAGTCATGTATTTTTCCCTCTTAATTCTTAAGCATCCTATCTTGGTAAAGCTTAAGAAATAAAAAATAAAAAAATAAGCTCTGGAAACAGTTGAGATGGTTACACAAAATTGTATATAAACATAATGCTACTGTATTGTACACTTGAAAATGATTAAAATGGGCAACGTTATATTTCCCTACAGTAACAAATTTAATGAAACTAGAAATCACAAAATATTTAAAGAATAGTAGAACAACAATTACAAATGAAAGTGTGGGAAACTAACATTTTATCCTGTCTTTTGGGCAAAGAGAAAGTCTTTGACAAGATAGAAGTCTACGGGGGTGCCTGGGTGGCTCAGTGGGTTAGGCCGCTGCCTTCGGCTCAGGTCATGATGTCAGAGTCCTGGGATCGAGCCCCGCATGGAGCTCTCTGCTCAGCAGGGAGCCTGCTTCCTCCTCTCTCTGCCTGCCTCTCTGCCTGCTTGTGATCTCTCTGTCAAATAAATAAATAAAATCTTAAAAAAAAAAAAGATACAAGTCTACATAGAGTTTATAAATATCAGGTGTAGTTCTATTTCTTTTTTTCTTTTTTTACATTTTTTAAAGATTTTATTTATTTATTTGACAGAGAGAGACAGCGAGAGAGGGAACACAAGCAGGGGAGTGGGAGAAGGAGAAGCAGGCTTCCTGCCAAGCAGAGAGCCAGATGCAGGGCTCGATCCTAGGACCCTGGGAACATGAGCAGAAGGCAGATGCTTAACGACTGAGCCACCCAGGCACCCTAGGTGTAGTTCTATTTCTTAAACACTCTGTTGATTGAAGTACACTTATGCTTTTTTTTAAAATTTTTTAATAAACATATAATGTATTATTAGCCCCAGGGGTACAGGTCTGTGAATCGCCAGGTTTACACACTTCACAGCACTCACCATAGCACATACCCTCCCCAATGTCCATAACCCCACCACCCTCTCCCTACCCCAGTCCCCCCAGCAACCCTCAGTTTGTTTTGTGACATAAAGAGTCTCTTATGGTGGGGCGCCTGGGTGGCTCAGTGGGTTAAAGCCTCTGCCTTCGGCTCAGGTCATGATCTCAGAGTCCTGGGATCGAGCCCCACATCGGGCTCTCTGCTCAGCAGGGAGCCTGCTTCCTCCTCTCTCTCTGCCTGCCTCTCTGCCTACTTGTAATCTCTGTCTGTCAAATAAATAAATAAAAACTTAAAAAAAAATTTTTTTAAAAAGAGTCTCTTATGGTTTGTCTCCCTTGCGATCCCATCTTGTTTCGATTTATTCTTTTCCTGCCCCCCCAAACCCCCAACGTTGCATCTCCACTTCCTCATATCTGGGAGATCATATGATAGTTGTCTTTCTCTGATTGACTTAGTTCACTAAGCATGATACCCTCTAGTTCCATCCACGTCGTTGCAAATGGCAAGATTTCATTTCTTTTGATGGCTACATAGTATTCCATTGTATATATATACCACATCTTCTTTATCCATTCTTCTGTTGACGGACATCTAGGTTCTTTCCATAATTTGGCTATTGTGGACATTGCTGCTATAAACATTCGGGTGCACGTGCCCCTTCGGATCACTACATTTGTATATTTAGGGTAAATACCCAATAGTGCAATTGCTGGGTCGTAACGTAGCTCTATTTTCAACTTTTAAGGAATCTCCATGCTGTTTTCCAGAGTGGCTGCACCAGCTTGCATTCCCATCAACAGTGTAGGAGGGTTTCCCTTTCTCCGCATCCTCGCCAGCATCTGTCATTTCCTGACTTGTTAATTTTAGCCATTCTGACTGGTGTGAGGTGGTATCTCATTGTGGTTTTGATTTGTATTTCCCTGATGCCGAGTGATGTGGAGCACTTTTTCATGTGTCTGTTAGCCATCTGGATGCCTTCTTTGCAGAAATGTCTGTTCATGTCCTCTGCACATTTCTTGATTGGATTATTTGTTCTTTGGGTGTTGAGTTTGCTAAGCTCTTTATAGATTTTGGATACTAGCCTTTTATCTAATACATCATTTGCAAATATCTTCTCCCATTCTGTCAGTTATCTTTTGGTTTTGTTGACTGTTTCCTTTGATGTGCAAAAGCTTTTGATCTTGATGAAGTCCCAATAGTTCATTTTTGCCCTTGCTTCGCTTGCCCTTGGTGATGTTCCTAGGAAGAAGTTGCTGCGGCTGAGTTCGAAGAGGTTGCTGCCTGTGTTCTCCTCAAGGATTTTGATGGATTTCTTTCTCACATTGAGGTCCTTCATCCAATTTGAGTCTATTTTCGTGTGTGATGTAAGGAAATGGTCCAATTTCACTTTTCTGCATGTGGCTGTCCAATTTTCCCAACACCATTTTTTGAAGAGGCTGTCTTTTTTCCATTGGACATTCTTTCCTGCTTTGTCGAAGATTAGTTGACCATAGAGTTGAGGGTCTATTTCTGGGCTCTCTGTTCTGTTACATTGATCTATGTGTCTGTTTTTGTGCCAGTACCATGCTGTCTTGATGATGACAGCTTTGTAATAGAGCTTGAAGTCTGGTTTGTGATGCCACCAATTTTGGCTTTCTTTTTCAATATTTCTTTGGCTATCCGAGGTCTTTTCTGATTCACTCATGCTTTTCGCTTTCTAAACCAGGGAAAGAGCAGGATATCTTATGCTTAAACCATAAGCAATTCCAAATTTAAAATATCCCTCTTGGTTTAAAAACCCTCTTTGCTGTTTCTTCTCTCTGAACATCCCCATTATCAGTCATCTGGTCACCTAAGTTCACGAGGCATTATTTGACATTAAAAAAAATACAATTTGGGGGCACTTGGGTGGTGCAGTCAGTTAAGTGTCTGAATCTTGGTTTTGACTCAGGTCATGATCTCAGCATCCTGAGATCAAGCTCCACCTCAGGCTCCACGCTCAGCACGGAGTCTGCTTGGGATTCTCTCATCCCTCCCCACTGTGTGCACACACACGTGCTCTCTCTCTCTCTCTCCCTGAGATAAACAAATAAATCTTTCAAAAAATACAATTTTAACCTGTTTTAGATCATCCTTGTTTACCTTGATATGTTTTCTCCATGGGCACCTCATGTAGATCAGGTTCCTGTGGAAAAGCCCTAACAAAGCCGTATATGGAATTTTGTTAAACATTCAGCATCTGTTTCCCAAAATTCACTAGTAAAGAACTCAAGAAAGGTAATAAGGTGACCCAGTTCATTTTATTGTAATGACCTGTCGCCTGGGAAATGTGCACCTTGTGTGCCCCAGAAATATCTGACTGTAACTGAATAGAAAAACAAGCCTTTGGAATTTCTCCCTGACATGGCCTTAGTTTACAACCAGCCAGTATATGATGAAAGTCTATGCTGCTTTTCCACATAGGTTATTTTTCCAACTAAAAATTGTTCCCAGCTGCTCTGACCCAGATGTGCTGGCAGTCCTTGGTGTGAGGGCCATTTCACAGGTGATGAAGCCCTCAGACAATAAAGTTTACACAACTTGTATGTAGCTGGTCCCCCATACAACCTTGGACTTCTAACACCAGCCCCCGTGCCCCCAAAAAAGGTAGTGATTTCCTGACACTTCACTTAGGGCACAGTGAAAAGGGGATTTCAATGTTACAGACCCAACCAAACGTTCGTAGGCCCCAGGCTTATGAAGCAAGAGTAAGATAAATTACCTAGCTTTCCCCTTCTCCTCAAGAATCCAGCCTGCTATAGCTAAAAATAGCTCCAGACCAGTAAGGAAATGATCAGAAATGGTCTCTGGGATCTGGCTTCCAGGAGAGGTAAGTCGTGGTATCCAAATGGGCCCCCTGAGTTGACATTCATCTTGTTGCTTTACACCATCCTGTTCTAGACTATACCAATTTCACTCTTTGCTTCACGCTTAAATGGAATGAGATGTAGAAGTTGTTGATAAAATTCGTGTAATATTATGTTTCATCAGGAAGTCATAGGACAACCAAAGCAATCGAGGGTGATCAGGGTGGCTATCTGTCCAGGTGTTTCTGGGACAATGCCAGGCAGTTTAACACCTATCAGATGCTTTGTTTTAAAACACCTTATTAATAATACTGGAATCACACACACTGGATGGGCTTAGTCCTGCACTTGGCATTCCCAGCCTCTACCGGTCTTGAACACTACTGTTGAGACACAAGGGCAATACCCTGAGATCTCACTTTTTCTTCTGGTAAACCCAGAAAGAGGACCAGCAACACCCTTTTCTCTTTCCCTAACCATTTCCTGAGAAGGTGTAGCTCTCACCACCTTTGACAGCATGGTAAAATGCAGCATGGCCAGCCACCAGTTCCTAGGGACTGGGTGGTGGTGAGTGATCCCACTGCCCGCCACCCCTCCCTTGTCCCTGCTGGGGGGCCGGGAGGTACACACACCCGCAGGGGCGGTGGGAAATGTGGGAAAGTCCAGGGTAGGGGTAAAGGAGACACGGGCAGGAAACAGAAGCTGAGCGGCCCCCACACAGAGCGCAGACTGCCGTGTGAATACTCTTGCTTACAGTCGTTGTGTCGGTGTATCTACAACTATTATTTATCACCCTATTGGATAACATCTTTTTCTTTCGCAATAGACTCTTGGGGCGGCAATCAGTTTGGAAATATCAAAGCACACATTTAGGGAAAAATTAAATATTAAATATTAAAGTCATTGATAAATGAATAACTGGCATAAATCACTGACCTCTTGATTCTACTGTGGGGACAGCATCATGAAAACCAGCAAACACGATTTTGCTGAAGAAACATCAGCTTTTACTTCGAAAGTGAGTTGGATACATAGGGCACAAAAGATCGCCATCTCGCACTAAGCAGGTGCACAGGTGTGTCTTCCTACACTCTGTGCAGCTGAGCTTTTATTCAGATGCAGTGACCACTCCTCTAAACTGACTTCCTCGCTTATGGGGAGCCCCATATCAGACTCCCCTGGTTGGTGGGGAGCCTGCTTCTCCCTCTCCCTCTACTCCTCCCCCTGCTTGTGCGCTCTCTCTCTCAAACAAATAAATAAAATCTTTTTAAAAAATTTCATCAGTGAAAAGAAACTTGGTTTTTGAGGTGGTG